AAAACAAGCAAAATAATCAAGTTTTTGATTTGCAATAAGAATATTTAGCTTGTTTTAAGAAAAAAACTCACTTATTTCTCACTTTTTATTTCTGAAAATATAGCTATATTTTTAACTTGTCAGAAAATGCTTCTTGATTGATGAATTTCTCGATTTTTGTACTAAAACAAGAAAAAAATGCATCACTAGTCACTCCAGTGTAAATGCCCCACTGAAGCCTTGACACAGTTGATGATGAGGAGATTAAGCCAGAGCCTGCTAATGTTTAGCATCTGGACTGACACACACACACATCAGACAGAGGAAGACGTCATCATTTACAACAATCACAGGCATCCTTTACCTTCAGTTCCTCAATGCATTTACACACACCTGAGTCCAGAAACACAGTGGAAACCATTGTTTGTGCACACTTCCTTTATGCACGGTTTATCATTCGACCACACACACACACACATACACACATACATACATACATACATACACACACACGGCGTGCTTTGTTGTCAAACTGATGCGGTTGTGTGGCGTTTTCTCTCACCTTGCTCCAGGTCTCTCTGGTCGTACCACGGCTCGTCCTCTTCCGTCACAAACTCGTCCATCCTGCCGGCTCGGAGCATCAGTTTGTCGCGGTGCGTTTTTCGTTTTTAACGGCCGCCCGGAAGCTCAGAGATGCGGCGATCTACTAAAGCGATATCAAACATACATGACGTGAGACTGCGTTATATGCGAGTTTACAAGGCGTTCGTGCAGTACACTTACACGGGCACTTCCCTAAAACACACTTTAAACACCTATTTTCACGGTTTTGTGTTTTGTGGATGTCCGTCTGGAGCAGGCTCCGCGCTGAAGCGACCGTTAAATGATGACAGCGCGCGCGCTCACGCTAAACTCACCGCAAAGACACGCTCCGTTATTCGGTGTCTCCGTCATGCCAAAGAGAAATTTCCTGCGAGAAATGAAGGAAATGTCAGTCTTCTGCTGCCATTGGGCTCTGTCACACTGAACCCCTCCCACCGCCGTGCTAAGCGCAGATATCGCTCCTCATCCGAGCTCCCACAACATCCCGTTGCTTTCTCCCTACAGATGAGGATTCCTACTATTGGGAGGGTAGGCTTCTTAAAATTCATAAGCAGGGCTTTCGCGATTGGACGGTTGAAGAGACACGTCAACAAGTACTATTAATATTCACAAACAAGCGTCTGCCATTGGAAGGAATGTCAAGCAACGTGCGCACGACGTAATTAATATTCATGATTTAAAATTTGAAAAATGTATTCGCCACGTTTTGCTGCAAAATTAGAGCGGGATTATATACATAATCATTAATCATCTGCTTTTGTTTTCAAAATTAAGAACGACCTAGAATAATATTAATATTAACAAGAAATTACTCAAATAAGATATATCTTTTTAATAATAAATCAGCTTTTTATTCACAGTTCTGGCTTATTTTGATCTGACATGATTTCCCCCTTTTATATGTGGTGAATTAATTTTTTAATAAATTAAGTTGTAATTAAAGTACATTTTAGTCTTAAAGTCGCAATTTGAGCTTGTTTGTGAATAGGCCCAAGTCAAAATCTTCACTGTTATTTGTTTATTTTACTTTATTACATTTTCTTGACAGGTTTGCTAAAGATAATATGATTTTAGAAGCAGACGCAAATATCTTCTTGTTTTATATTAAAAATAATAATTCATATTCATAAAAAAGTCTTTCGCCACTGGACAGTTAAAGAGAGACGTCAACAAGCCCTATTAATATTCACAAACAAGCGTCCGCCATTGGCAGGAATGTCAAGCAAAGTGCGCACGACGTAATTAATATTCATAAATACATTAAAAATGTATTCGCCACTTTTTGCTCCAAAAAATTAGAGCGAGATTTTATATATGTATATATATTAAGTACGACCTAGAATAATATTTAAATGAACAATAAATTAATCAAATAAGATATATATATTTTAAATTTTAAAAAAGGTTTTCATTCACAGTTCTGGCTAATTTTGATCTGACATATTTTTTTCTCCTTTTATATGTCGTGAATTAAGTTGTAATTAAAGTACAAAATAATCTTAAAGTCCCAATTCCGAGCGAAAAAAAGCTTGCTTTTCATTTGTATTTGTGAATAATCCTAAATTGAACACATCTGTTATTTATTTTACATACCTTGACAGGTTTGCTGAAGAGTGAAATGATTTTAGACGCAAATATCTTCTCGTTTTATACCCTGTGTCATCATAACACTTTCCTCCAACGCGTCACCACTGTATATTAATATTCATAACTCAATTTACCACACAAGACCCTCGCCATAGTAGGAATGGTAATTTCTCCCGCCTCCGCTGAGAGAAACACCGGCACACAATAATCCGTTTGTCCGGGAATCTGAGGGCCGGTTTTTACTCTGAAGAGGGATAATTAGGGGTCTCCATTCAGTGCAGACTGTGGGCTCAATGGAGCGGTAAACTCGTTTATTTCGAGCCGGTTTCCCGCGGGGAGGAAGACAATGGCATGTTTAAGGTGTAATTGTAGAACTGCCTAATAATAGCTCAAAACCAGATAGGACATCATGAAAAGGGAAGTGCTTATTATTTGCGACAATAAAAGACAAATTTAAATGTTGGCCACCCATAATGCAGTGTAAACATTTGAGGAGAAATCTGTTAGAACTTCATGTTAAACTGTGGTCACACGATATACATTGAATTGAATTGAAAAGGAGACTGGATTTCTTTTCAATTTTTTCCTTTAAGAAATAATACATTTTTAACGCTAGTAACGTACACATATTAAGAGAGACTGCTTGAGAATAAGCAACAATTCTGTCAAAGGGCGAACTTTACCTTTAAAGTCATGAGATCAAAAATTATACTGTGTATTTTGCTAGTGCGCAGTGTTAAGCTGCGGTCACACTGGACTTTTCTCCCCATGGACTTCCATTCATTCGCACATGAATGCGTCAGACTTGAAATGCAAGCTTATGCGACAAGTTTGGCAGTTCGCTGCATTGCAAAGTTCAAGCTTGGTGAACTCTGACCTACGAAATCGCATCACTTGACTGCGTGAGACTAATCGAAGATCAAAACATGACCTCTCTGGACAGAAATTTAACATATGGACCAATCGCTCGTTTTTTAAAATGTCTAATCATCTTGTTTAATCCCGCCCCTTTTCGTAACGCCATACGATAAAATTTCGCAAGCTAAAACTCTAGTGGGAGAGCGGCATTATTCTTTAGGTTAACAATTAGCACAAGTTATTCCACTGGAAAAAAAAAGTTTGCTTAGTAATCTTCAGCCACAGTATTCTTAACCACGCCGTTCTAAACGTTAGTTATGAAGGTAATGATGCGCAAAAAAGAAAGCCCGCCCCCAACTCAATATTCAGTTTCAGTTGGAAGTATGTCAACATAAAGAAATAGGAAAGAACAATATGATCTCACAGCAATTCGTAACTTTGATTTAGTGGCTAATTCGTATGAGTTTGTACGATCTCATTCGTACAATTAAGTACGATTTGCTTATCCATAATGACGGTTAGGTTTAGGGGCGGGTTGGGTGCCACGCCTTTTTTTTAAAAATCTTATATTTTCTCACGACTGAACTCGTATGAATTAGCCACTTAACTGACAAAACGTAAAATAGTTACATTTTCTCATGAGATCAGACTGGGCATTCCAACTCTATCTCATGGCAATTCGAAACATTTTGATTTAGTAGCTACTTCGTATGAGATTTTACAATCTCATTCAAACAATTTGTTTATCCCCAAATAACGATTGGATTTAGGGGCAGGGTTTGGTGCCATGCCTCCTTTTAAAAATCGTATATTTTCTTACGACTGAACTCATATGAATTCGTATGAATTAGCAACTAAATTGACCAAATGTAAAATAGTTACATTTCCTCATGAGATCAGACTGGGCATTCCAACACTATCTCACGCCAATTCGTAACTTTTTGATTTAGTAGCTAATTCGTATGAGTTTGTACGATCTCATTTGTACAACTGAGTATAATTTGCGTATCCTCAAATGACTGTTGGCTTTAGGGGCGGGGTTGGGTGCCACGCCTCGTTTTAAAAATCGTATATTTTCTCACAACTGAACTCCTATGAATTAGCCACTAAACTGACAAAATGTATAATAGTTAAGTTTTCTCGTTAGATCAGAAAAGAACTGGAAAGAACTACACTACCCATAATCCTGAAGATAGATCCACCAATCAGACAAGCCACTTTCTGTTATACTATTTGAGTAAATACTAGAGCAACAGCTAGATGTTGTTCATTTAACAGTAACTTGCTAGCAACCGTGCTGCCAGTTACTTACTGTTTTTTAACGGGACAACTTTTAACATTGTAGTATGCATAGAATTTAGACGCATCTGCCATGTTGTCAGTTACCTTCCATTCAAAAATATTTTATTGTGACTTCCTGGGATAGTAAAATAGCTGTGCTTACTTACCTACTATATATTACGTTAAAAACTGTATGCGAGTCAAGTAGTATGTCCGAACTCATAGTATTCGAAAAACAAAAGGTGATAAGTACCCGGATGACCTACTACTTCCGTCGCATTTGCATTTATTTTTGAGCAAAGATATTGTATTGATGATGGGAACTGTCAGACCGATGTGAAAAGTCTTTTCCAGCACATGCCAAAGATTCTCAATAGGGTTAGCATCTGGATGCTGTTGTGGCCAATCCATGTGTCAAAATAATAATGTCTTAGTTAAATCCTGGTGGTGAACTTTTTTTGGATGAGCAGTGTATTATTATTAGGCCTCGAACAACTCAGGAGCAAAAATAGTTTACTCTCATCTGGTGGTTTATATTAGATTCATAATCACGACCCTTCCAAATAAGGTCAATAAGGACGTTTTAATTCTAGAGGTATTGCAATATTGGACACTGCCTGATAGAGAAGTATGTTCTACATAGTATGAATATGTGTAGTGTGCAGAAAATTTGGAGGCATCTGCCATGTTGTCAGTTACTTCCATTCAAAAATATTTTATTGTGACTTCATGGGATAGTAAAATAGCTGTGCTTACTTCCCTACTATATAGTACATTGAAAACTGTATGCGAGTCAAGTAGTATGTCCGAATTCATAGCATTTGAAAAACAGTAGATGATAAGTACCCGGATGACTTACTACTTGTCGCATTTGCAATTATTTCTGTGCCAAGATCTTTATTGAAGATGAGAACAGTCAGACCGATGTCTTCTCCAGCACATGCCAAAGATTCTCAATAGGGTTAGAGTCTGGATGCTTTGGTGGCCAATCCATGTGTAAAAATAATGTCTTGGTTAAATCCAGGTGATTTTTTTTTTTTGAACGAGCAGTGTATTATAATTAGACCTCAAGACAGCTCAGGAGCAAAAATAGGTTACTTTGGTCTGGTGGTTTATATAAGATTCATAATCACGACCCTTCCAAATAAGGTCAATAAGGACCTTCTGATTCTAAGAGTATTTTATGGAGTAATAAAAACGCATATAAACCGCTTTTGGAAAAGTTTTGAGCTTACCTAAGCCTACTATGTAGATATCAAAGAGAAATGTAGCTTATTGAATCAAAGCAGTATATGGCAAGTTTGAAACCCCTATTTAAAGTGTATTGATAAAAATACTTGCCACTGAAAAAGTGCAGTTCCACCAAAAGACAAATAAACTTACCAATTACACCATCAATTATTCAGCACGGCTCCATTTTCCATTTGCACACGGTTGTCCTTTAATGTACTTTTCGATACAGTTCATCCGACTCGAAGTGCATTACAATGCTAATGCTACATAACAGAGACTGCGGTCTGTTGACTTCAAGAGCAGTGGATTTCAGCAGTTCATATGAATGTGCAATGTATGCGTAGGCCTCACAATGAGAACACCTGAGATAAAAAGCAGCATCTCTGACAGCGCACAAACACACACACCGGCCACTATCTGTCCTGTGTCTTTAGTAACATCCAGTCCGATTCGCTCTCACAGCGCACCGTCCTGCTGAAAAAGCGCTTGATGAGCCGTTTCGCTTCCAGCTTTACTGTAGGAGGAACACAGGACAAATGAGAGATCTGAATATGCACAATCAGCACTTGGAGAATGCATGGTGCTGTTTTCTGAGGTTGGGGACAGGCTCACCTTGGCCTCGATTTGGTGTTTTTCCCTCGGTGAGGAGATGGGAGAGGAACCGGGCGAACGATTTGAACAAATCCTGAGGGAAAGAGTTTAGAAATGAGCTTTAATTCTAATGTTTTTTTTTTATATAAATAACTGGGAAACATAGCATTTGTGGAACAAAAGTACACACATTTATCCTTAAATCAAACACAAATGTATTATTGGTGACATTTTATAGTCAGACCACTGTGCAAAGTCTTCTCCAGCACATCTTGAAGACTCTCAATAGGGTTATGATCTGGACTGTATGATGGCCAATCCATGTCTAATAATGATGCTCTATCTAAATCTAGGTGGTGAATTTTTTTGATGGTGGGAGGGCAAACATTCATTCATTCATTTATTTTCTTGTCGGCTTTATTAATCTGGGGTCGCCACAGTGGAATGAACCGTCAACTTACCCAGCAAGTTTTTACGCAGCAGATGCCCTTCCAGCCGCAACCCATCTCTGGGAAACATCCACACACACATCTACACACACACTCATACACTACGGACAATTTAGCCTGCCCAATTCACCTGTACCACATGTCTTTGGACTGTGGGGGAAACCGTATGAAGGTAAATCCGTTGCGAAACTCGAGAGCTTGCAAATGTAAATGTGAGCACTTGTGATAATAATATTTGTATGTGTAGGTTGAAATGTACACTTACAGCTCTGATGTGAACAGCTGAAATCCTCGATTTGCACACACACACAACAACCCACGCACTTGTGTTTTAAATTGGAAGTTGCAGATTAATAGTTGTGTATTTGTAAAATGTCATTCACAAATACAAAGTGACAGACACACGTGTGTAAGGCAAATTTGATTGCATCTCCATTCTACAACCACAGGTCGGCACTCACAACCTCTCAGATTCGTCAGTACAACTACAAATCTCCCGCGCTCTGACTTTTGCTACACATCTCCCGCGATCTCTGTAGCAGAACTCATCTGTGCACTCGCAGATGCAGAGGCGTGAGCAGCGCTGGGCGGGGGAGGGGCGGGGCAGGTGTAAAGCTGTTTGATTGGCTGAAGCCTGACCAATGAACAATGCCAGCAGCCAACAGGACTGAGGTGCAAAATAATAATTTCCCACGATTATTTCATTAGTTAGGGTTTATTTCAACTCTTTTCTGAAGAGATTCTTGTTAAAAATCATAAATTCTACTGTAATGTACATACCAGTAAAAGAGCAGCAAAGCCAGTTTATTGGCTACAGCCAGCCAATGAGATGGGGTGTTTCTGTTTGTCAGCACACAGGGCAGCTCACGTTGTTGGAGGCCTCGAGCAATCAGAGGGTAAGTTATGATTTTTTAATAATTATCTATATGTTCAATACTGTTAGCTAAGCTAAGGACTGTGCTGGGTGCTTCTCTTGTTTGTTTCTTATATAAGAAAACAGTTATGAGTTATGTAGGAGTTGCTTTCTATCATGTTATATGGTTCTAAAGATACGATTCAACCCACATGAAATAAGAAGTTGTAATAGCATTTATAGTAAACAATATTACGTTTTTGAACCATACTAACTATAATAAACTGTATTATACTGTATATTTTGCAGTATCTACAACTTTGTTAATGAATGCAACAGCACACTGTAGTATTAACTAGCATGAACTTTAATGAATTGAAGTATACTTTATATGTAAAACCTAATACATTTTAAAGCAGTTTCATTTCTTTCTAATTTATACATCTACATGCATTACATCAGATTTAGGTCCACAACTTGCATCCTTCAACATGATATGTGTGTTCAAAGGAAGAGCAACTAGGTGAGGGAGACAGTGTCCATCGCTCGGCTGAGGGTCCACTTTGAGCATCTCATCTGCAGGGTTAAGCAACATAAGCTGAACAGTCATCATCTCTCTCTATTACAGCGAGCATCAACCAGCTTTACACAATGGCTTGCTTTCTAACCATTAGTAAAGGCTTGAGCAAAGGATTAAAGAGGAGATAACATTTGATGGGTAATGATGAAGTTGGATTTACCACCTCCATCTCAATATGAACAAGGAAAAACCCTGAAATATTTCAATACAAGTAACTAGACATTTGCGCTACACTTATTTGGACTGTAAATTTTATTTGACAAATTACATTCCCTTACAGAACAGGTGTCAAACTCAGTTCCTGGAGGGCTGCAGCTTTGCAAAGTTTAATTCTAACCCTAATTAAACACACCTGATCAAACTAATTGAGTCCTTCAGGTTTGTTTGAAACTTTCACTTGAGTGTTTTGAAGCAGAGTTGCAACTAAAAACGTGCAGGGTTACGGCCCTTCAGGAACTGAGTTTGACACCCCTGCCTTACAGTAAAGTGTAAAAATACTACATTAAACAATTATCAAAATAAAAGTTGTGTTTGTGGGTGAGTGTGTGTTTTGTTCAAATCTGTAGTCATCTTGGCAGGTAAAAAGAGAAAATAAATGGTTGGCTTCCTCTTGAATGATCTGAATCATTTTGAAGTGTTTGTAGATGAGCTGGATCATCATGTCATCTTTAGCATAAATAACATCCTATTCAAGCTATGCAGCTTCTCTGAGTTCCTCATCGACTTGAAACATCCTGATCTCTCCTGTCACTCCATCCTTACAGGAAACTGAGAAATAAAGGTAGTAACTTTCATAATTAAAAAAGTGATATAAAGGACACACTGTACACAAACATGTAAACAGATAGATGGATAGATAGATATGATGCAGGTTATAATAACAAAAACCGGTATGATCTGTAAGAAACTGAAACGCCTAGTGTTATTTTTAATTGCTATTAATGTGTGCGTGTGTGTAAATATACTTCAATTCATTAAAGTTCATGCTAGTTAATACTACAGTGTGCTGTTGCATTCATTAACAAAGTTGTAGATACTGCAAAATATACAGTATAATACAGTTTATTATAGTTAGTATGGTTCAAAAACGTAATATTGTTTACTATAAATGCTATTACAACTTCTTATTTCATGTGGGTTGAATCGTATCTTTAGAACCATATAACATGATAGAAAGCAACTCCTACATAACTCATAACTGTTTTCTCATATAAGAAACAAACAAGAGAAGCACCCAGCACAGTCCTTAGCTTAGCTAACAGTATTGAACATATAGATAATTATTAAAAAATCATAACTTACCCTCTGATTGCTCGAGGCCTCCAACAACGTGAGCTGCCCTGTGTGCTGACAAACAGAAACGCCCCATCTCATTGGCTGGCTGTAGCCAATAAACTGGCTTTGCTGCTCTTTTACTGGTATGTACATTACAGTAGAATTTATGATTTTTAACAAGAATCTCTTCAGAAAAGAGTTGAAATAAACCCTAACTAATGAAATAATCGTGGGAAATTATTATTTTGCACCTCAGTCCTGTTGGCTGCTGGCATTGTTCATTGGTCAGGCTTCAGCCAATCAAACAGCTTTACACCTGCCCCGCCCCTCCCCCGCCCCGCGCTGCTCACCCCTCTGCATCTGCGAGTGCACAGATGAGTTCTGCTACAGAGATCGCGGGAGATGTGTAGCAAAAGTCAGAGCGCGGGAGATTTGTAGTTGTACTGACGAATCTGAGAGGTTGTGAGTGCCGACCTGTGGTTGTAGAGCAAAGATGCAATCAAATTTGCCTTGCACACGTGTGTCTGTCACTTTGTATTTGTGAATGACATTTTACAAATACACAACTATTAATCTGCAACTTCCAATTTAAAACACAAGTGCGTGGGTTGTTGTGTGTGTGTGCAAATCGAGGATTTCAGCTGTTCACATCAGAGCTGTAAGTGTACATTTCAACCTACACATACAAATATTATTATCACAAGTGCTCACATTTACATTTGCAAGCTCTCGAGTTTCGCAACGGATTTACCTTCATAAAACCGGAGCACCCGGAGTAAACCCACGCGAAGGCAGGGAGAACATGCAAACTCCACACAGAAACGCCAACTGAGCCGAGGTTCGAACCAGCGACCCAGCGACCTTCTTGCTGTGAGGCAACAGCACTACCTATTGCGCCACTTGCGTCGGGAGGGCAGACAGTGTATTATTAGGCTGGCTTGTGTAGCAAGCCAGACTACTGTTATCCTATTTTTCTTCTGAGACTAAAAAACAAAACGCATCTCCTCCTAGAGCTTTCGAGCTATGACCACCAAACTCACACCAAACCTTCAAACTGGTCTGATTCAGTGTGCTATATCTTTTCCAACTGATCTGACTTTCGGTTTTCCGAAAAACGTCCCGGGACCGTCGGAAAAATCCCATTGACTTAACATTGGACCAGACTTTGTGACCTCATAACTCTGCATCAGACTGTCACACAGACTTCTAACTGGGCTCATTTAATTCAGACTACCTAACTGCCAATACCTGATGAGCTTTTAACATTTTTGGCCACGCCCTAGTAACCACTTTTGGGACCCTAGAAACTGTCCCATAGACTTCCATTCAAAAGACTGTCATTGACTTTACATTGGATCAAACTTTGAGAGCTTATAACTCTGCATCAGACTGTCCTACAGACTAATGGCTGAGCTCATTTAACTCAGACTACCAAACTGCCAATAACTGATGAGCTTTTAATATTCTAGCCACTCCCTAACAACCAGATACTGCACCCTAGCAACTGTCCCATAGACTGCCTTTATAGAGACCCAGATTGATATCGTCATGCTGTAGTGTTATAGCAACATGCTAATAATGATTAGCTAAGTACTTTAACATTCTAGAAATTTAATATCTATCTATCTATCTATCTATCTATCTATCTATCTATCTATCTATCTATCTATCTATCTATCTATCTATCTATCTATCTATCTATCTATCTATACTTTTTAAAACTGTATAAACTAAATAAACTATTACCAACAGGCTTTCACAAGCCAGCCTCAAATTTTGTCTCGACAAACTTTAATAATCTAGTTATTATTATTAGGCCTTCAGATTAATAGTTGTTAAACCGAGATTGCAATTTACAACTTGTGAAAGCTGCTATTTTTGTTCGATACGCTATCAAATGTGATAACTAGGCATGGGACGATAACCATTTTCAAGGTGTAGTGCGGTTTGGAAAAGTCAAGGTTTTAAAACCGCCTGTTATACGGTTCCTAAGGTATATGTAAGATGCTTTGTTTGTATTTTAGGACAACAGTATCTCCAGCAAAAAAATATATCCAAAGATGCCGTTTTAACTTGTGAATATATCTGCGTTACTAATAAATACAGTAAAAGTCAATGATTCATTTGAAATATTTAGCCTGACATGTTTACTGCTCCAAAATATTTCAAATGTTTCTCAGAATAAAATATACTGGCTGTGTCCGAAATCACGTACTACTCAGTAGGTACTGCTTTTGAATTTGAATTTACTAATCGACCGATAGAAAAGTAGATTCTATACAGTGTGCATGCGAGTAATATGAATGTAATATTATCATTGGATCCACTGGATGCGCACACTTCAGAATCTCGCTGCATGTAGTAGGTCATCCAGGTACTTCTTGCTTAATGTTTTTTGATTTCTATGAATTCGGACATACTCCTCAGCTCGCATACTGATTTTAGCAAACAATGTAGTATGGAAGTATGCAATTGCAGACGTAGCTTTTGCATTCAAATCAGAAAAGATTTCTTGTTTTTTACCTAGACATTTAAAAATATTTTAGAGCAGTAATCACAATACAATCACAATACCGTTCATTTTTTTATCCAAGGTTATCATACCATCAGAATCATACACCGGCCCAGGCCTATTGGTAACAAGCATAGCGTTTGTGAAGGTTCTGATGGTACATAAGCACATTATCCTGAACCATATATACACTAGACATCGCATATGGACCCTGAAGCCTGGTTTATACACCTGCGTCAAGTGATTGGCATGACCCACGGTGCATGTAACGCGCGAAGCTGTGCATTTATATGCGCGCTGTTTCTGTTGTTCTGCATTAGCACTTCCGAAACGCTAGTTGGCAGTGAGGTGTTAATGTTCCTCTGTGTCGAATTTCTTCGCTGGTGTTTTGTTTTTTCGGAACGCTTCCTGAATGTACAAGTGCTTCAAATTCGCTCATTTTGAGGTAGGAACCGGCGGACGTGCAACAACTTTAACCATAAGTTAAACACAAAACAAAACTTTCCATCCGGAGCTCCTTCACTGGACTCTACACTTGTAACAATCGCTCCATTGGACTCGCGCGGCTCTCAGTCCCGCCCAGACTCATCAGCGCTACCAAGCAGACCAATCACAGAGCTTGCGCTAGGCGTCCTTGCGACATGTAGTTAAATTTTTTGGGAGGTGCACATCAGCGACGCCGACGGCCATGGCGAGGGCTATGCGTCAACGCATAGGTCGGGCCGCACCATACACGTGCACTCGACGCAGAAGTATAAATCAGCCTTAAGTATGCGTCAATAGTGCCGATACATTTGTACAGTGTTTCCAGGACAAAAGCCATTCAACGACACTTAGATCAAAACAAAAGCCAATCTAAAGAGGCTGGACTTTTGCGCTGCGTACGGGTGTAGTAACGAGCAAACAAAAAACAAAGCACAAAGGCAGAACATTTCATAGGGAAGATTTTGTTTTTTACATTTTTATGTTACGAATTTTTGTGCTCAAAAAGTAACGTTATTGATGATGATGATACAGTCTCTTACTGCACTGACCATTAGGCAAAGTAGCACCAACCTGCACTAAATTTCAGACATACTGTCGCATACAAGACGTGCAGCACCTGAAACTACGGATACTGGAAGCCTGTGCTGGCATTTCTCCTGCGGTGTTGCTATCAGTGTGTGAAGAGTGGGTGAAGAGGGTTGCATTGACAATCCAACACAATGGGCAGCACATTAAACACACTTTATAAGTAGTCATAAATGTGTAAATAACTCATGAAAGAACAAAGTTACGTTAAAACCAAGCACACCATTGCTTTCCTTGTGAAATTCCCAATGAGTTTGATGTGTCACATGACCCTCTTCCTGTAGAAAAAACTAAAGTTGAATCTAAAATGGCCGACTTTAAAATGGCCGCCACCCATCTTGAAAAGATTGCCCCCTCACATATACTAATGTGCCACAAACAGGACGTTAACATCACCAACCATTGCCATTTTTTTAAAGTGTCTCCATTTAAACGGCCCCACCTGTATAATAAATTTAATTGAACTTAAAATACTGCAGTTATTTTCATCACAGCTGACAACTTTATTGGAAAAATGGCAACAATGGAGGTTTAAATAAACGAAGCATAGTGTAGATACTTTGTGATTATGCTTTCTTTAGTGCAGTTAAAACCACCACGTCAAACCTGCAGCTCTTTTATGAAACGGTAGTAAATAGCAATTCGATTTTTTCTCCAAATCGTGCCGCCCTAATCATTATCGTTATTATTATTATTATACACGAATCACCTTAGTGGCGAACTTTCCTTGTTTGTAGAAGGGGTCGAGGCAGCGCACCACTATGTCAGCAGCTTCTTTGAGCGTCACAGGCTTCCTCGAGATCCCAGCACCGTCTCCATTCAGAGCCTCCACCTGCGTCTCCTGCACCACCGGGTCAAAGGTCACCCTCTTCGTGTCCTTCAGCACACGCCTGCGTTTGACTGGAGGAGACGGAGCTCTGACCTCAGACCTGTCCTCATGTGCCTGAAGAAATAATAAAAACGAATTCATTCATTTCCCTTTCGATTAGTCCCTTTGTTAATCAGGGGTCGCCACAGCGGAATGAACCACCAACTTATACAGCACATGTTTTACGCAGCTGGAAACACCCAAACACTCTCATTCACACATTCTACGATCAGTTTAGTTTATCCAATTCCCCTCTAGCGCATGTGTTTGGACTGTGGGGGGAAACCCACACCAACACGGAGAGAACATGCAAACTCCACACAGAAATGCCAACTGTTCCAGCTGGGGCTCAATTCTGCGACCTTCTTGCTGTGAGGCCAGAGCGCTAACCACTGAGCCACCGTGCCGCCCCCATGACTGCTTTCATAAAGATTAAAATGTTACTTGTTTTGGGGATTTCCGCTGGCCGTCACTCTGCTGATTCTCTCTGCAGGAACAAAGACACAACGGATGAGAACAGAGCGAGTTATTCCTGTCACGACGGATGAATATCAGAGCGCGCGTCTTCCTCGGTCTTACCCGTAATCCTCGGCATGTGCAGTGACCTCGCAGAGACTCTCCTGAGCCGCTCTCTCTGCATCTACAGACGAGCTGCTCAGTGTGTGGACGCCATTAGCTGAAGCCGAGCGATCCTCACACGCATCTTCAGTCTCCTCAGGCTCTGGTGAACTCTCCCTCTGAGCTTGTTTTTTCCCGAAGTACAGTGAGATGAGGCGCGTGTCTCGGGCCGCTTCCGCCAGTTTCTGCTGCTTCCTGCTGAGCTTTTTGCTTGGGCTGTTTAGGGAGGAAGAGCTGCCGCTTTTGGCTTTGATGGAAGACGTGTTGTTGTTGTCCTTCTGTGTTTTCCCGCTCTCTTCCTCGCAGGTGGAGTCTCCAGGTGTTTGGTCGGAGCTCTTGAGGAGATCTCCAGCTGGCTGAAACAGGCTGGACGAGCCTCGAAATCCCGCTCCCACACGCTTCCTCTTCAGCTGCAATCAGGAGAACAACAAGACGACTGGACGATCAATAATACACCTCTAAAAATGCTTACCGTCTAGTTTCCAAGTGCAAATATCAAACAAACTCTTAAATCAAGAAGCTTAGGAAGACTTGTGTTTGTTTTCAGAAGTTACAGTTGGCGAGAAATCAAAATGTACACCTCTTTCTTATCTTTATATGTATATAGTAGGGGTTTTGATAATCAATGTCTCTCATATTGTTTAATCAAACACCAATAAACTTCCCTCCCCTCAAAATGACTTTTCTTCACTTCTGGTCACATGGGATGTCTTTAGGGCGGGGCTATCTGTCATTTAGGGTGTGGCTATCAGTCATTAAGATGGGGCTATCAATCGTTTAAGGTGAGGCTATCAGTGCGTGACTATCCGTTATTTAGGGTGGGGCTATCTGTCATTTAGGAAGGGGCTATGAGTTCTTTAGGGCGGGGCTAACAGTCCTTTGGAGTAGAACTACAAGTTCTTTAGGGCGGGGCTATCAGTCCCTTAGGGTGGGGTGATCAGTGCTTCAGGGCAGGGCTATCAGTCCATTAGGGTGGGGCTTATCAGTCCTTTAGGGTGGGGTTTATCAGTCCTTTAGGGTGGGGTGATCAGTCCTTTAGGGCGGGGCTATCAGTCCCTTAGGGTGGGGTGATCAGTGCTTTTGGGCAGGGCTATCAGTCCATTAGGGTGGGGCTTATCGGTCCTTTAGGGTGGGGTGATCAGTCCTTTAGGTCGGGGCTATCAGTCCCTTAGGGTGGGGTGATCAGTGCTTCAGAGCAGGGCTGTCAGTCCATTAGGGTGGGGGTTATCAGTCCCTTAGGATGGGGTGGTCAGTCCTTTAGGGCAGGACTGTAAGTCCTTTAGGGCGGGGCTATCAATCTCTAGGGTAGGGTGATCAGTGCTTTAGGGCAAGGCTATCAGTCCATTAGGGTGGGGCTTATCAGGCCTTTAGGGTGGGGTGATCATTCCTTTAGGGCGGGAAGATCAGGGCTTTAGTGCGGGGCAATCAGTGCTTTAGGGCAGGGCTTATCAGTGCTTTAAGGCAGGGCTAGCAGTCCTTTAGGGTGGGGCTATTGGTGCTTTAGGGCGGGGTTATCAGTCCATTAGGGTGGGGGTTATCAGTCCTTTAGGGTGGGGTGATTAGTGCGATCAGTGCTTTAGGGCAGGGCTATCAGTCCATTAGGGTGGCGGCTATCAGTCCTTTAGGGCGGGGCTTATCAGTCCTTTAGGGTGGGGCGATTAATCCTTTAGGGTGGGGCATTCAGTGCTTTAGGGCGGGGCTTGTCAGTCCTTTAAGGCGGGGCTATCAGTGCTTTAGGGCAGGCCTAGTCAGTCCTTTAGGGCGGGGCTATCAGTGCTTTAGGGCAGGCCTAGTCAGTCCTTTAGGGCGGGGCCATCAGTGCTTTAGGGCAGAGCTGAGTCCTTTAGTGTGGGACTATCAGTCTTTATGGGTGGGGTTATCAGTCTTTTAGGGCAGGGCTGTCAGTGCAAGTTATAAATCCTTTAGGGTGGGGCTACAAGTTCCTAAGGGAGGGACTATCATTTTTTTAGGGCGGGGCGTTCAGTCCTTTAGGGCAGGGCTATCAGTCCTTTAGGGCGGGGTTATCAGTCCTTTAGGGCAAGACTATCAGTCCTTTAGGGCAGGCCAGAGCAGTCAGTGCGAGCTATAAGTCCTTTAGCGTGGGGCTTTCATTCCTTTAGGGCGGGGCTATCAGTCATTTGGGGCAGGGCTATTAGTCCTTAAAGGCGGGGCTATTAATCCTAAGGGGAAAAGCTGTTAAGTCATTTAGGGTGGGGCTTATCAGTCATTTAGGGCGGGACTATCAGTGCTTCAGGACAGGGCTGGGCAGTCAGTGTAAGCTATACGTCCTTTAGATCTGTGGTCTACAGTGTCTAATGTTCTCACCGAGTATATCTGAGAGGCTGAAGTGAAGCCGTCCAGATGTTGAGCAGACGAGGAGCAGGTCGGCTTCTCCTCTGCAGATTCACACGGTTTCTCCTCAGTGACGCTCACAGATGTGCTCTTCTTCATCTCTGACACCTGCACACACACACATACAGTCATGTGCAAAAGTTTGGACCCCTTACTGAATTCCAGTTTTTCCATAACAGGACGTAAAACATAATCCGATCCTTAAATTTGTGAAATAGAACGTCAGACGAACAACATTTTTTTCATGTTGTGACACGGAAAAAACTAAATGTTAAATGAGAAAATAGTGGCCGTGGCTTGATTTTCTCTACTGCGAGCTGATTGGATGTAGTAAAGTCGGCATTTTATTCAGAAAGATGGGGAAAAGGGTTTGGGGAGAGTTATTACAACCTAATAGACTCCTCCAGCTGACCACTTCGGTTTGCTGTCAAAACTGATAGCTGGAGGGGCGTGGTTAAGTCTGTTAGCCACACCCACTAACTCAGACAGACCTAATCTGAGAATTAAACTGAAAACAAACAGGAAGTGCATTTTCAGATTTCCATTGAAGAACACAAGGGCAAACTATAGTTTTTTTCTCAATGACATGCACGGATGAATTGTTCACTACAGAACTATGTGAGCTAACAAAATCAATACGGTCAGTTTTGGTTTCATGAGTACTTTATTTGAATATGGTATCTCTGTACTCGATTGGCCAGCAAACTCGCCAGACCTAAAACCTATGTGTATAGTGGAAATGAAGATCCAAAACACCAGACTAAACAACACAGAAGAGCCGTTTTGCAGAGCTTTATAACACTGACCGACTATTTCATTTATGTCACGTCACATTGCTGAAGTAATACATGCAAGAACAAGGTTATCATACCGTATCTTACACAGGCCCATCTTACATAGTCCTCATTTGAAAAGCCATGAACATCACCAGTGCACTTTTTCACACAACTGTATACAGACAATGCGCATTCATCCAGGAGAGCTGAACATGCGCTGTGTCAATATGATTATTAGCACTCACTCTCTTGAGAACAGCAGCTTTGTAGATGTTTGCAGATTTACTGCTCTTGAAGATCTCGTGTTCGATGTCCACGGCCTGATCAAGAGCCTCAGAGCTGCGCAAACACAAAACAAGAGGAAACCAAGTCATATAAGCATTGAAAATGATTTAAAACTTGAGATTTGAACAAGCTTTCCATTGACTGTTTATTAGAAGCGGAAATACAATTTCAAAATCCAGATCAACATCTGATGGTTCAGAAGATGTTTATTTCAGTATGTTGCAAACTTAATCATCATTTCATTTAGACATATTAATTATTATTTTGAGTTTTTTTAAGGACATATTAAATTGATTTAACATATATATATATATATATATATATATATATATATCTTTATATTACTAAAGATGTTCGGCCAAACTCTTCGTTTAATAAATAAACAAACAAATAAATAAAAAAGGAAATAAATAATTAAAAGGTAATAAAAAATAAAAGAAAGAAAGAAAATTAAAGGAAAGAAAAAAGAAAGAAAAAAGGAAAGAAAATAAATTAAGAAAAGAAATAAAAAATAAAGATAATAAAAAAGAAAAGAAAAAAAAAATAAAGGAAACAAAAAATTAAGAATGGAAATAAATAAATAAATAAATAAATAAAGGAAATATATAAAGGAAAATAAAGGGAAATAAATATAAATAAAGGTAATAAAAAGTAAAAGAAATATAAAAGAAAGAAATAAAGGAAATTAACAAATAAAGAACATAAATATATAAATAAAAGGAAATAAAAATAAAGGAAATAAATAAAGGAAATAGAAAAATAAAGGAAATAAACTAATTAAATAAAGATAAATAAATAAAAGAAGTTAAAATTAATAATAAATAAATAAAAAGGAAATAAACTAAATAAGTTGATACATAAATAGATACAATAAATAAACAAAGAAAGAAACATAAATTAATTAAATTAATAAATAATAAAGGAAATAAAAAATAAACAAATATAATAAATAACAAATAAATAAAGAAAGAAAATAAAAAATAATTTGAAGAAAGAAAGAAAGAAAATAATAAATGAAATAAAAAATAAACAAATATAATAAATAACAAATAAATAAATAAAGGAAATAAAAAATATCTTAAAGAAAGAAAGAAAAAAAGAAAGAAAATAAACAAACAAAAAAAGAAATAAAGCACTTGAGTCCGCACAACACTTATATATGAAACATGAATCTTTATAATCAATTCCTCATATTAGCATGATTTCAGAAGAATCGTGTGATGCTGAAAATACACTGGAATACACCACATCACACAAACCTTCCCTTAGACTCCAATCTTTTATTATTATTATTATTATTAGTCTCCCTTTTAACTTTAACAATAAACCACAGCTTGGATTCTGAATGTGGAGTCTGCTTTACCGGTGTAAAAACTCTGCGTCTCCACTGTGGCTGCTCAGACACTCCTGCAGGAGAGACAAACAGTGCTCTCGACTCTGCAACACACACAAACACACTCTGAGACTCCAGCAGAGGGCAGCACTGCACAACAGATGCAAAACAACGAAATCTGCCAATAATGTAATGAACACTGACTTACACTCACTCAGTAACATTATCAGAGGCCAAATGGCATTCGATCTGATCACTGTACAACCATACTGCCATTGTGTTCAGTTAGAAAATATCATGAATGCTTGATATGAGCACTGAAAGGGTTTTTTTTTTGCATGTGAAGTTACAGACAAGACACCTTTTAAAGATCATAAAACTCTTCAGATGATGGTTTTTACCTTCACTGTGAGTCTGGGGATCCTCTGACTGCTGGCATCCTTCAACACACAGTCCGCATCTGACACAAACATCAACATTAACATCCACACACGGCTCAACACATGCCATAATCTGTCAGAAAGCGATATCTAAAAACCGACCTGGAGGAACAAACGTCTCTTTGGGTGCATCTGATCCCTGTAAATAAAACGAGAGAGATCTTGAGGATCACGCATGCTCCATTTTTCCCTGTTAATCTACTGTTAGTACTGTAAAATCATAATGCATGACTTTATAGATACGTGAGGGGCATGTTTTTTTGTTTGTGAGAAACTCCATGACTGTTTTTTGTAATATGATGAGCATGAGGAGTTAAACAGGAGTAAAACTGCAGTGGCTTCAGCACAGCTGTAGCTTGTTCAGCTTTGAGGGAGGACTGAAGCACACAGCTGGAAAACATATGTTGAGGAGAAAGACCGAGAGAAGAGGAATGTTCTGGCTCAGACTCTGTGAGGGTGAACTGATCAAGGATTTGAGTTTAGGTGTTATTTGTGAATGTTATAAAGCATGGATATAATGCCATCATAATGTGCATTACTGTAATGTGAAGTATGTTTTGTGGGCTCGATGATCAATAAGAAATCTTTAACAACATAAAACATCATCAAGGATACATTATGTAAAACAAATGGTGCTCTTTTAAATTTATAATCAAGAGTGAAAATGTATCATGGTTTTCATAAACACTTGAAGCAGCTTTCAACAGTGATACTAACTTCTTAAGCATCATTCTGTAGAATTTTGTAACACTGAAGACTGGAGTGATGATGAAAACTCAACTGTGATTCACAGGAATCAGCTAGAAGAGAACATTTTGTGTGATTCTGAGCGGGTAATTTAATAACATCCTAAAAGCTTGCTATGTGCTAGCATTGCTAAAGATTTTAACAAGCTTTGTCATTACGACTGAATGTAATACCACAATTTCTACCATGATGCAAACATGTTTTAGCTCTTTTCATGTTTTAACATGCTGCTAACACATTCCAGAGCCTCATCCCAAAATTGCTGCCGGACATGAATCTCTGCTATCATGTCAGTCACGATCAGAGCTACTCTGCCACAGCATACTAGACGTGTCCAGTGTTTAAGACCCATCACTGATGTCAGCTTGAGCATTCATGTGCTGCCTTCTTACTTTCCCATAGCACCCTTAACCTAACTCTTAAAACATCATTAGGCACCATAGAGTCTACCCTCATGAGCCATAGAGCCCTCATTCCCACCCTCACGAGGCATAGAGCCCTGATCCCCACCCTCACGAGGCATAGAGCCCTGATCCCCACCCTCACGAGCTATAGAGCCCTCGTCCTCACCTTCATGAGCCATAGAGCCCTCATCTCCACCCTCATGACCTGTCGAGCCATCACCTGCACCTTCACAAGCCATAAAGCCCTGATCCCCACCCTCACAAGCTACAAAAGCCCTAATCCCCAACCCTCACAAGCCATGAAGCCCTCATCCTCACCCTCATGAGCCATAGAGCCCTCATCCCCACCCTCATGACCCGTAGAGCCCTCACCCTTACCTTCACAAGCCATAGAGCACTAATGCCCACCCTCACAAGCCATAGAGCCCTGATCCCCACCCTCACAACCCATAAAGCCCTCATCCTCACCCTCATGAACCATAGAGCCCTCATCCCCACCCTCATGACCCGTAGAGCCCTCATCCCCACCTTCAAAAGTCATAGATCCCTGATCCCCATCCTGACGAGCCATAGAGCCCTGATCCCTCCTCATGAGCCAAAAAGCTCTTATCCTTACCCTCATGAGCCATAGAGCCCTGATCTCCTCCCTCACGAGCCATAAATCCCTGATCCCCACCCTCCATGAGCCATATTCCCACTTTCAAGAGCCATAGAGCCCTGATCCCCTCTATTATGAGCCATAAACCTCTGATCCCCACCTTCATGTGCCATAGAGCCCTCATCCTCACCCTGATGCACCGTAAAGCCCTTGTCGCCTCCCGTATGCACCGTTGAGCCCCTCCTCTCTACCTTCATGCACAGTAGATCCCTCATCCACACCCTCATGAGCCATAGAGCCCTCATTCCCCACCCCAGATCCCCAACTTCATGAGCCCTCAACTCCACCCTCATGAGCCATAGAGCCCTGATCCCCACCTTAATGCGCCATAGAGCCCTCATCCCCACCCTGATGTGCCGTAGAGCCCTCATCCCCACCCTCATGCACAGTAGAGCCCTCATCTCAACCCTCATGAGCCGCAGAGCCATCATCCCCACCCTCATGAGCCGTAGAACCCTGATCCCCACCCTCACGAGCCATAGAGCCCTCATCCCCACCCTCATGAACCGTAGAGCCCTCACTCCCTCCCTCAAGAGCCATAGAGCCCTCTTCCCACCTTCATGAGCTGTAGAACCCTCATCCCCACCCTCTTGCACCATAGAGCCCTGATCACGCTTGCTCTTTATGGCCTTGTTCCTCCATCTCTCCATATACACCTGTTACCTGCTACGCCCAAGTATCTTCTTTATGTTACCCTAGTTTGTTCCCTTAGTTACTAATTGCCTCTACCCCTTGTTTCCTAGTTGGGTGGTAAGACCCTGGTTTGCTCAGTGTCTTTAGGAATTCTGTTTAAGTGTTTGAGTCTCTGTCACTGAATGAGAATGTGTCAGATGTTCCTGTTCCTTCGTTTGCTGTGTTTTTTATCCCGTCTTCCCTGGATTTAGTTTTTTTTTGTTGAATTTAATAAATGTGTTACGGCATTTGGACCAGCCTCTTGCCTTTGCTTTGACGCTAGACATGTATTTAAAAGTTTGACCATAATTGTTAATTCACCTTTCTCAAGCTCATCTGCTTCTTGAAGAGATCTCCAAACTGTTTCTTCCTCTTCTCAGAGTCATCTTCCTCACTGCCATACTCCTCATCATGCCTGAACACACAGACACACATAGACACACAGGTCTCTCAGTCACGACATATTAACTACACCCATTATTCATCTGCTGCAGTCTCAGATCAGCTGACCTCTCGAACCCGTAACCCTTTCTTCCTCCGGCGTACAGCTCAGGATCGAATCCGAATGGTCCTCTAGGCTCTGCGCTGTGTGTTGGGTTGGTTCTGGTGCTCAGGGCAGCTGCTCTGGCCAGCTGAGCACGCACCAGTTTGGGGTCACGACAGAAATCACACGCTCCTGCACAGTTGGGTTTCTCGTTGCCAAAAAACGTTGAGATGGTGGCATGTCGGCACCTGAAAAGAGTGAATGCGCATTTAAAAGATATAGCAATATAGCAAACAATTCCAATAGTTGTAGAATCCCCCGAGCTAGGATTGAACTGGCAACCTTCCACATGGTAGTCGATTGCTCTACCAAGGAGGCTAAAGGCCATGGCCTCTAGCGTCTGTCACTAGAACACCTTTAGAGGTCAGAGGAGTGAGGTTTACCTGCACAGCACTTCACTAGCTGGCCTTCGCTACAATCACCCCCCCTAAACCTCATGGACCTCAAGTCTAATTGCCCATCTGCTCTCATACACTCGTTTTACCTGCCTTTAAGACACTGACAATACCTACCGCAGGTATGAAGCTGAGAGTCTAATGGCGGACGGCTGCTTCTTACTTAGGGCTGTCTATGCTAATGAGGGAGAGATCGTCAGTAAGGGGCAGGACTTCCCCCTCTGATGACACGTACAGCAGAAGACTGTCAATCAAGTGACTGTTTTTATGAAATGAGATGATATAAAGCAGATTAAATTCATTTTTATCATAAGAAGCTGGCTATATTCAGACACTGTTGCCACACAACTGTTTATAAGCCCCTTATACAAGTAATTGTTGCATAATAGGCACTCCTCAAGTTGTTTGACAACTGGTGACACTCATAAAATATATTCCAGAGCAGATCACGCACTGACATATCATTGACAATTACAAGCAATGGTGCAGCCAGGATTGGTCTACAAGGATATTGCAGCATTGGTTTCTGTTCATTGATATGGTGAGAAAGAATTATGAACCCAAACATCTCCAGTTCTGCGCTTGGGTGTGGTTAGCCCAACCAAATTGCACTCAGCCCATCCTCTTCCAAACATGCCAGGACCGGCTCAACAAACCACACCCGGCCAAAGTATGGAGCAAATACCCTATTCCATAGGTCTCAAACTTGATTCCTGGAGGGCCGCAGCTCTGCACAGCATACTACCTGGAGAGCTACCTTCCTGCAGATTTCAGTTGCAACCAGGGCCGGAGCAAGCTGAACCGCTGCTCTAGGCAAAGGATGGTTATGCCGCCCTAAAATGAAAGCGCGGGGGATGGGGGTTATTTGCCGCCCTAGACGCGGATATAACTGAGGGCGATGGTGGTGAGGGTAGTGTCGCGGACGCAGCCCTAGACGCGGATAAAACTGAGGGCGCGGGTGGTGAGGGTACTGTCGTAGACGCCGCCCTAGATGCGGATATAACTGAGTGAGCGGGTGGTGAGAGTAGTGTCGCGGACGCTGCCCTAGACGTGGATATAACTGAGTGCGCGGGTGGTGAGGGTAGTGTCGCGGACGCCTCCCTGGACGCAGATATAACTGAGTGCGCGGGTGGTGAGGGTAGTGATGCGGACGCCTCCCTAGACGCGGATATAACGGAGTGTGCGGGTGGTGAGGGTACTGTCGCGGACGCCTCCCTAGACGCGGATATACTGAGGGCGTGGGTGGTGAGGGTAGTGTCGCGGACGCCGCCCTAGACGTGGATAAAACTGAGGGCGCGGGTGGTGAGGGTAGTGTCGCGGACGCCTCCCTGGAAGCGGATATAACTGAGTGCGCGGGTGGTGAGGGTAGTGTCGGGGACGCCTCCCTAGACGCGGATATACTGAGGGCGTGGGTGGTGAGGGTAGTGTCGCGGACGCCGCCCTAGACGCGGATATAACTGAGGGCGCGGGTGGTGAGGGTTGTGTCAGGGACGCCACCCTCTGTATTCTGCCGCCCTAGGCGGCCGCCTAGGTCGCCTCTATGGACACGCCGGCCCTGGTTGCAACCCTAACCAAACATGCCTGTCTGTAATTATCAAGTGCTGCTTCAGGTCCTCATTAATTGGTTGAGGTGTAATCAGGGTTGGAGCCGAATTCTGCAGGAAGGCAGTTCTACAGGAGCAGGGTTCGTGACCCCTGCACTAGGCTATCAGAACCATGCTCCAAATCCTAACTAGTCAGAATAGGGCATAGTCTCGAGCACAATTCCTGAAGGGCCGCAGCTCTGCACAGTTTTGCTCCAACCCTAATTAAACACACCTGATCAAACTAATCGAGGTGTTCCAGGTAGTCTTGAACACCTTGATTAGTTGGATCAGGTGTGTTTGATCAGGGTTGGAGCAAAACTGTGCAGAGCTTTGGCCCTCCAGAAATTATGTTCGAGACCTATGCCCTATTCTGACTAATTAGGATTTGGGGCATCCTAAGCAGGACATCCTAATTAAAATTCAGCTCTCCAGGAACAGGGTTGGTGACCCTTGGCCTAGTGTAAGTACACCCTTAGTTCACATTTGATTAATGCAATGCTGTATCTGAATTCTAGACTCTACACCTGGTTTTAAGTTGAGGAACACTTCTGCTGGTCACTATATGACTTCATTGTAAGAGTGAGAAACCTGTGAGAAACTCAGTTGGTAAAGTGAGTCAATTATAACTCATTCGTTCATTTGTTTTCTGGTGAAGTTCGCTTTCGATGAAGAACAGAAGGTGTTTCTCAGTAAATATTAGTGCACACACACATGCAGTGTGAAGTTTAAAATAGACCTGTGTGCTTCTCACTTCACAGACCACTGGGTTTCAGGTTTCAGAGTCTGAAATAGCTGGTATGGCAGAGGGAGAGAGGCAGAAATCCCCCCAAAATACATTTACATGGCCTGACACACAAAGACCCTCTGTGTGCCAACACTGACGCCCACAACCAGAGTCCAACCAGAGCCGTATTCCTGATCATCCAAACACACTTACTGATGTGCTCTTGAGGCTACAACAGAGCAAAGTTTCTTTTTTTCTCAAAGTAAACACTGGATGTCTTCACAAAACCAGGAACTTTGAGGTAAACAAATGCTGAAACATTAACTATAAAAAAAATACTGAACAAATGCAGAAAAAAAGGAAAAGTGTCATGCTTTCAAACAGCCTGTTCACACTTATTAAGTGTGAAAGTTTGTTCTGTTTGGCAGAAAGAGCACTATAAATACACTCAGCATTTTTGAGCCACACTTTACCATAAAAACTAAACCGTCTTAAAGCCATTTTAAAGGCTACAATCATAGACTGGTGCCAAAAGAGCTGCTCTGAGTATTTCAAAAACTGCTGATTTAAAGAGATTTTCACAAACAACCATCTTTAGGGTTTACAGAGAATGGTCTGAATAAGAGGAAATATCGAGTGAGCGGCAGTTCTGTGGGCGCAAATGACTTGTTGATGTCAGAGGAGAATGGCCAGACTGGTTCCAGCTGATAGAAAGGCAACAGTAACTCAAATAAGCACTCGATACAACCGAGCTCTGCAGAAGAGCATCTCTGAACACACAACACGTCTAACCTTGAGGCGGATGGGCTACAGCAGCAGAAGAGCACACCGGGTGCCGCTCCTGTCAGCTAAGAACAGGAAACTGAGGCTACAATTCACACAGGCTCACCAAAACTGGACAATAGAAGATTGGAGAAACGTTGCTGCTCTGATGAGTCTCCATTTCTGCTCACACATTCGGATGGTCGGGGCAGAGTTTGGCCTCAACAACATGAAAGCATGGAGCCATCCTGCCTTGTATCAGTGGTTCAGGCTGGTGGTGGAGGTGTAATGGTGTGTGGGGATTTTCCTGGCACACTTTGGGCTCATTAGTACCAATTGAGCATCAACGCCACAGCCTACCCGAGTATTGCAGCTGACCATGTCCATCCCTTTATGAGCACAGTGTCTCCATCTTCTGATGGCTACTTCCAGCAGGATACACACCAAGTCATAAAGCTGAATCCTCTCAGACTGGTTTCTTGAACATGACGATGAGTTCACTGTACTCAAATGGCCTCCACAGTCACCAGATCTCAATCCAATAGAGCAGCTTTGGGATGTGGTGTAATGGGAGATTGGCATCATGGATGTGCAGCTGACAAAACCACAGCATGTGTGAAGCTATCATGTCAATATGGAGCAAAATCTCTAGTCATAAAACAGGTTTCATATGCAAACTATTGTTTTAATTTTTGTGAATATACAGTTTTCTCACTCTCTCTCTCTAATGGAAATGCTCATTATGGGAGGAGATGTTATTCTTTGAACTGTTTATTGCAGTAAATAAGTATTTTATAGTATGTAAATGTAAAGAAGAATGTATTTACTTACTGTGTATTTGTAAAGAAATTAAAAATAACTTTGTTTTTGTTTTGTTGATTTCAATAATGCATATCATTCAAATGCAAATTCTCTCACTCACTCACTCACTCACACACACACAAACAATTTCTATCTCACAGTCACACCCACACACACACACACACACACACACACACACACACACACACACACACACACACACACACACACACACACACACACACACACACACACACACACACACACAGTATAATTGCTCTCTTCTAACACAAAACAGTCTTTTTCAGAGGTCCCATTAAGACAAAGGAGGATAAAAAAAAATCTGTCTCCACTGTGAATTGAGGGGAGGAGAAAAGACAGAGCTGAAAGAAAAGAGGGAGGAGACCAACACGGTAAACACACAGGGAGAGAAAAAGAGAGAGAGAGAGAGAGAAGTAAAAGTGCACAGTTCAGTTATCATAGAGTCGCTATACTGGTAAAGTCAAACAGCGGAGGACAAACACACACAGCATGACACACACAAACACCACTTCAACAACAACTGCCTGACGGGACAGAGCTGAAACACACATATGCACACAAGTAAGAGGAGTTGAGGTAAGAGAGCTTTAACATCTGTTTCTCTCTATGTGTGTGTGTGTGTGTGTGTGTGTGTGTGTGTGTGTGTGTGTGTGTGCCTGTGAGAGTTCATGTTTGAGTGTGTGTGAGAGTGTGTGCATGTGTTTGTGTGTTCATGCAAGCGTGTTTGTGTGTTTATGTGGAAAAAGGCAACAAATCAACATAAACTGGAGGTGATAACGGCATGGTAATTTTATATTACGATTATAGTGACTAAAACGATCATGATTTTCAACATTATTAGCGCAGTGATGAAAAATTCACAGCACCAAGTGTTTTGTTAGCCTAAACTGTAGCTTTACCCTGCTGAAAAATCCAGCTTAAACCAGCCTAGGCTGGTTGGCTGGTTTTAGCTGGTCAACCAGGCTGGTTTAAGAGGGGTTTTGGCCACTTCCAGGCTGGTTTCCAGCATTTTCCAGCCTGGTCTTAGCTTGTCAGGCTGGAAAATGACCAGCTAAATCCAGCTTGACCAGCCTAGCCAGGCTGGGAGCCCAGCCAAAACCAGCTATGTCCAGCTTAAAACAGGTTGGTCAAGCTGGTTTTACCTGGATGTAGCTGGTTATTTTCCAGCCTGACCAGCTAAAACCAGGCTGGAAATGGCTGGAAACCAGCCTGGAAGTGGCCAAAACCCCTCTTAAACCATCCTGGTCGACCAGCTAAAACCAGCCAACCAGCCTAGGCTGGTTTAAGCTGGATTTTCTAGCAGGGTAACGATGCTAGCTAGATTTTAGATTAATAAAAACTGTTAAAAACAAAGCTATTACAAAACACTACACCTCACATTTCATCAGACACCATTTTAAAGAGAAATCATGGGTTGAAAAAGTCAATATTTACATAATACATTTAATAATTAGCCAGACATTTTATCTGAAAGCTCGATGATGACAATTTCTAGTGAGTCTATTGATTCCATAAATTATACAGACTTATTGTTAGAAGCTCTGGTTTTATTATTAATAGGCTAAGTTAATTTATTATAATCTTGTTATTCACTCCAAGAACAAACTATAAAGAACTATACTGTTTATATCACACAATAAAACATGTACTAAAAGACTTTAAAAAGACGATCTAAATGAAGATGTAACTCCGCCCTCTGACTGTAGGAGGCGCTTGCGGAACAAAACTGCGCTGTTGCCGTGGTTACCGCAGTACAAGAGATAAACACTGCTTTATTCTCCTTTATACTGAGGTAAGAGGAAAAGAAAACACCATCTCTGACATTTAGTTCCCTTCACAAACATGTTAATGTGATTCATTTATTCATATGTCATAGTATTTACCTCAGCAATCAAGTCTAAAATACCTCACGGTCGATTTCCTTCAAGTCTTCGTTCAAAACAAAACCAATTCTTCTGCGCCTGCGCAAAATTTAACGGCTTTGTTTACACTTTAATCGATATGGTTTTGATTATAATGCAAAATGTTAACACTAAAGTCATGTTTCATTAAATAAATCATGAAGGGAGGTTCATAAATGCGGTGAAATATTACCGTTTTGTTCTCCTTTACATTGAGGTAAGATGAAAAGAAAACTCTATACTTTATATTTAGGTCTCTTCAGAAACACATTCATGCGAGTCATTCATTCATGGCTCATATTATTTACCTCAGCAATCTGGTCTACAGGTTGTAAAATACCTCACGGTCGATTTCCTTCAAGTTTTCATTCATTCATTCATTTTCTTGTCGGCTTAGTCCCTTTATTAATCCGGGGTCGCTACAGCGGAATGAACCGCCAACTTATCCGGCAAGTTTTTCCACAGCGGATGCCCTTCCAGCCGCAACCCATCTCTGGGAAACATCTACACACACACACACTCATACACTACGGACAATTTACCCTACCCAATTCACCTGTGGGGGAAACCGGAGCACCCAGAGAACATGCAAACTCCACACAGAAACGTCAACTGAGCCGAGGCTCGAACCAGCTTGACCTTCTTGCTGTGAGGCGACAGCACTACCTACTGCGCCACTGCTACCGCCCTCAAGTTTTCATTCAAAATAAAACTAAGTCTTCTGCGCCTGCGCAAAATTCAACGTCTTTGTTTACACTTTAGTCAAGATAGTCTTGATTATAATGCGAAATATTAACACTAAAGTTATGTTCCATCAAATAAGTCGTGAACGGACATCTATAATTGCGGTTAAACATTAAATATAAACCTTTATAAATGATGACTGAATCATATGTTATTAATAATAATGACACATTTGGAAATCATGTTTTGGGGCATTTTAAAATACAGTTGATAGTATTTATTATTTAAAGCACCAAAGAGTATTTGTTTGCTTGTAAACACAATTGTGCCATGTAAATATGCCCGAGAAATTGATTGAAAATATTCTGACTCCTTGTATTGAAATCGTTAGTTTGTTTACGCTTCACAATAAGGCTCCATTAAAGTTAACATTAATTAAACTAACCTGGCAATGACCACTTTATCAGGTACATCTCACTAGTACCGGGTTGGACTCCTTTAACTGCCTCAATTCTTCATGTCAGATTCAACAAGCTACTGGAAATATTCCTCAGAGATTTTGCTCCATATTGACATGACAGCATCACGCAGTTGCTGCAGATATGTCTGCTGCACATCCATGATGCCAATCTCCCGTTCCACCACATCCCAAAGATGCTCTATTAGATTGAGTTCTGGCGACTGTGGAGGCCATTTGAGTACAGCGAACTCATTGTCATGTTCAAGAAACCAGTCTGAGATGATTATATATATATAAACACACACACATAAATAAATACTCATACTTGACCTCAAACTAAAATCTATGGAAACAGAAAAAGGTTAATTAAACTAACCAACATTAAGGAGTATAAACAATTAAAATACTGGACAAAAAAATGACATTTCAGTGTTCAGACGTGATAAAAACATCAGCCAGCTATCGTCATCACACTGTTGTACATGCATTACTACCTAAACTAATTTAAAAAAAGAGGTAAACCAAAGAACTAATGCTAAAAGTGTTAATAACAAGTAAATGAATAGTAAGTAATGCCTCCTCCTTCACAAAGATAACTCCTCTCAGCGCCACCACAGACCATGTCCTGTGGAAACACCCACAACACCACAGAAATTTAATGACTAGCAGGTTCTGTTGTGTTTTTTCTAGTTTCTAGTGAAGTACCACAAGCACATCCAACAGGAGACAAAAACGACAGAAAGTAGATAAGGTTTGCAGACAGGAAACGTTCAGGAGCTTCTGAGTGTATAGAGATAATGTTGTTTACTCGACTAATATCACGGACTAATGCACAAGACGTGTCATTCGCATCATTTTGAATGGAGAAAAGTGTAACCGGCAATATGGCGAACGAAGCTCCGCCTTTAAGTACCGAAGCCAATCAATGATCGCCATAGGCCCCGTTTACACTAGTGCGTTTTAGTTTTAAAACGGCGTTTTAGACCAAAAACGTTCCGCATCCACACTAGCGTTTCACCTAGCGTCTCTGAACATATCTCCGTCCACACTACGCCACCAAAAACGTATATCACGTGACCATTCACGCACTCTGGGCATGCGCGTTCTAGTATAAACAGAAAGCTTGCGTCTCGCTCGGCATTTGGCTATTTTTCAGCCGCATATTTTAAATAATGTGTCAAAAATAAAGTCTGTGAATCTAGAATTTCAATACTTAAAAAATAACATAAAAGTGTTAATATATTTATTAAGTGTTATGCAAACAAAAAGAGCAGTATGGAAAATGTGCAGGTATTTTATTGCGGTTCGAAATTACTTTAACAAAAGGTGGGCTGACTGTGGGCAAACTGTGCAAAACATCACTTCGGTTTTTTTTTTTGTCACATTGTTCACACTTAAATTTCTGCTTCCAAGACATTAGAAACAGGCATTTTCTTTTAGCCTTATAATTTGATGTTGTCGCCATGTTGCCGTTTCGTCTCTGTACTGGTTGTTCCCAGGTTGCGGAAAAAAATAGCATTCTCAAAACATCAAATCAGATAAGCGGAACCGGAAAGCAATGTGGTGTTTACGACTTCATTGAGAAGGTAGTGTTTAAAGACTTAAAAGCACAAACTTAAAATGCGCGTAATTGAAAGTCGCAAACAAATTAAATGTTAGTGACAAGGCAGCACTGTCCCAATCGGGCCAGTAATGATCCTGTCTACTGTCCCAAGCGTCTCTCACGCTGGCCCTGGGCCACCGGGCAGTCCTTATTGTTGAGCCCTGACATTAAACGCGATTGCAAAGAAAGCAAGAGAGGTATTTTTGTGGACAGACGACGAGGTCGAGTATGAATAACTGAATAACTGCTTGGCACCTAAAACAGACAATAGTGCAAACAACACTCCCATTTCTGTGTCCATGTTGTTGTTTACAGTACTGTCTTCCAGTAGCGTTTAAGCTATGTGTTATAGTCATGTGATAGGGGCTTGACGAATAAGGGAAGGATACGCAATGACACAAAAGCCCCAATCAGGTAGCGAATCTTGGCAGTCCTGACTAGGTTTTCCGATGTCTCCGTTTTTGCTAATCCACACTGAAACGGAGCAGCAGCGTTTTAGAATGAAAACAGCCTCTCCAGTGTTTTCAAAATGCTCGAGAGAACTCCGGCATAGTGTGGACGGATGGCGCAACCGTAGCAAAACTTATGCGTTTTAAAACGAAAACGCATTAGTGTAAATGGGGCCTTAGGATTCTCCGAGGGGGCTGTGATCAGACTTGTGTTTTCACGACTTCATTATGAATCCTCTAGGACAGTGGTTCTCAAACTTTTTTTCCACCAAGTACCACCTCAAAAAAAAAAATTGTCTCTCCTAGTACCACCAAAATGACCAGAATTGAAATAAAGTAGCATAGTTGGCCAAATTAACCAGCTACAGCACTGCACAGTTTGAAAACGATGCATGTTTATATTTATACAATTTAACAACTTGACCACGTGACTCGCAAAGCGGCATTCTGAAAAATTAAGATGTTTTCAACCGAGTACGCCTGGAATACGCAAGCGCGTCGTGCTCATTTTGCTAGCCTGTGGGTTAAATTTTGATGCTCAAGTGAGAACGAGACGTCATTTTTCAAAATAAAAGATTTTTTAAAATAAATGATAATTTTAAAATAATTAATAATTTTTTGTGCGGCCTGGTATTAATTGATCTAGAGACCGGTACCGGTCTGTGGCCCGAGGGTTGGGGACCACTGTTCTTGCGCATATCTGCTCTGCAAGCACCACGCATCCCTTTCTCTAGTTTTGCGTCATTTGTATTAATTTTTAGCAGCTGATGACGCGACACACTAAAGTAAACATTCTAAGCACAGCGCTTTGAGCGAAGGCTTTAGAGAACAACCGATGCTGATCACATCGGTGATATCGAACGCATCAGATGATTAAAATTGTCTTCATTTTTTTATTACTCAGTGATTCCTCCGCGTTCCACTAGCAGTAAGCCCGTGCACCACTAGTGCCACAGTTTGAGAGCCACTGCTCTAGGATCTCTAATCAACCAGGAACGATTGGCTATCAGGAAATTCAGCGGCTGCACTTTCAACAAAGAGACTCGCGCAAGTCACACCAATAAACTGTACACAGAGGTCACACCGAATCTGTTTGCATTTTAGCAAGCGCATCAATCGCTCACTCCTCCACACATCATTCACCTCCTGTTGTGGCTGCTGTAGGCTATGCATAATATACGGGAGCGCATGTGCATCTTCCTCTTCTTGTAAACTCATGAGCGAACATCTGCGGTCGGTTCATGAAGTTGAAGTACCAATCAAGTCATACAATGCGATTATCGGTCAATACCGATCTTCGGTCAATAGATCGGAGCATCTATGATACATCATATGTGTTACTCTGAATTTGATGATGGAGTATTTACTCATGTTTTGATATTTGATTTCCTCTGATGCTGTTTGAAACTATAAAATAAACTCTGTAGACCACTGTTATACAGTGACTTGCCTAATTAACCGAAGCCTTTAGATTGCACTTTAAGCTGAATACAATCTTGAAAATTATCTAGTGAAAAGGTCATTTTCGTTCAATATTTACACTATTTACTTTATGTAAGCAATCATTTAAAAGCTGACAAGGTCTCTCCTCTATTTCCGTGTCTTCAGATCTGACCAGAATGAGCACTTCACAGGACATAATGGGACTCCTCCAGAACGTCTGGACCAAACTGCAGGCTCTTCCCCAAGACCACCCGCTCACCCAGGCGGCGTTTTCCATCATCGTGCTGTTCTTCTGTAAGCGCTCCATCATTACAGCTCTGCACTCCAGTCTCATTTTGCCAGAGGTTTTATTTGAACTCAAGGCGGAGAGCTTGGATTAGAGGCCTCCGCGAATGCACATCCATACTTAGCTTGCTATTTTAGTGCACTTAGACTGACATTAAAAACTCTTAATAAGTAGGTGTCTGTAAATGTGGGAGGATTTAGGTTAAAGTTGAAGGTTTCTGACATCAGACGTTTCTTTTCTCCTCCTATAAATTCCCATTTCGGATTGGACTATAAATCTTGATTTCTGATTGAGAGGACGCATAATCACTCACGAATTTTGCTGTGTACAGTCCAAAATAAAGACTCAGCACCCTGATGGCTCCACTACATGAGCAAAACTGAGAACTAATTTTTAACGTTTGATCAAAATGCATCATCAAGGTATTATAAGTGGTGTAAAAAGCACAACAATATGTGGCAGAGAGAGCTTAAATGCACTGCAAGTTAAGAAAGCACACGCATACAGAAAAAGATTAACAAACTGAGAAACATCTTCAACGGTTTGACAACAGAGTACAGCCATCTGACCAATCAGAGCTCAGTAGAGCCATCTGACCAATCAGAGCAGAGTTATCTGATCAATCAAAGCTCAGTAGAGCCATCAGACTAATCAGAACAGAGCTGTCTGACTAATTAAAGCTCAGTAGAGTCATCTGACCAATCAGAGCAGAGCTGTCCGACCAATTAAAGCTCAGTAGAGCCATCTGACCAATCAAAGCTCAGTAGAGCCATCTGACCAATCAGAGCTCAGTAGAGCCATCTGACCAATCAGAGCAGAGTTATCTGATCAATCAAAGCTCAGTAGAGCCATCAGACTAATCAGAACAGAGCTGTCTGACTAATTAAAGCTCAGTAGAGTCATCTGACCAATCAGAGCAGAGCTGTCCGACCAATCAAAGCTCAGTAGAGCCATCAGACCAATCAGAGCTGAGTTATCTGACCAATCAAAGCTCAGAAGAGCCATTTGACCACTAAGAGCAGAGTTATCTGACCAATCAAAGCGCAGTAGAGTCGTCTGACCAATCACAGCAGTTATCTGACCAATCAAAGCTCAGTAAAGCCATCTGACCAATCAAAGCAGAGTTATCTGACCAGCCAAAGCTCAGTAGAGCCATCTGACCAATTAGAGCAAAGTTATCTGACCAATTAAAGCTCAGTAGTCATCTGATTAATCAGATCAGAACTATTTGACCAATCAGAGCAGTTATCTGATCAATAAAAGCTCAGTAGAGCCATCTGACCAATCAAAGTAGAGTTATCTGACCAATCAAAGCTCAGTAAATCCATTTGACCAATCAGAGCAGAGTTATCTGATCAATCAAAGCTCAGTAGAGCCATCTGACCAATCAAAGCAAAGTTATCTGACCAATTGAAGCTCAGTAGAGTCATCTGACCAATCAAAGCAGAGTTATCTGACCAATCAAAGCTCAGTAGATCCATTTGACCAATCAGGGCAGAGTTATCTGATCAATCAAAGCTCAGTAGAGCCATCAGACCAATCAGAGCAGAGTTATCTGACCAATCAAAGCTGGGTAGGCCAATCAGAGCAGAGTAGAGCTGTCTGACCAACAAGAAACAAGGTTTTCAAAGACCAGACCCTTGAAATCAAACATTTCAGACCATGTGAAACAAGAACTGATGCTGACATTGCTATTTTGTGAAAATGAAAGTGTTTTTTGACGTTGGATTAATGTATATCTATTTGCTAAACAAAACCACCAGCCTTTAAAATAGCATCATCTGAAGCAGATCCTCAAACACTTTAAGGAATGTTAAGTTAGTTAGGGCTGAAATCAGTTTAATTGAGGCATGTGACTGACTGACTGTGTGTGTGTGTGTGTGTGTGTGTGTGTGTGTGTGTGTGTGTGTGTGTGTGTGTCCTGCAGTGACGTTCCTCACTATGGTTGTGGCCGGATGTGTTTACGGCTGCTGTGGATGCTGTTCTCCGGGAACCAAAAAGAGAGTCTCCACTGAAACATGGGAACCCTGACGAGAGACACCGCAACGGGCCCAAATAAAACCAGCAGTCGATTCAAAGTTTTGATTGTGACATCGTCACACATAATGGGGATAACACTGAGCCAGTGGAAGTGTCTGACGCTGTAAATACACAACATTCACAGCCATGAAGAACATCAGAAGAGCTTCAAACGCAGACACAAGCATCCTGAGAAACAGGCTCAATCCTTCATTGTAACATCACAAATAAACACTAGACTCCAGACCTCTCTCACTCTCTCTCTCTTTACGGGAATGAAGCCACTATGAATCCAGTGCCAAAGACTGACCTCTGGTGTTTGCACACAGAACTGCAGTATTATGAAAAGAGCTGAAGAAAGTAAAGGCGGAAGGTTTTACGAGTCTTCTATATTTTGTATTCAGTCAGGAAGCATCAAAACGACGTTTATAACGTTACAACAGATTTATATCTGCAATTATGCTCTTACAAAATTACGTCTTTTATTAAAAAATGACCTTTTTAAACTTTCTGTGCAGCAAAGAATCCTGAAGAAAATGTATCTTGATTTCCACAAGAATATAAAGCAAATGTAACGTTTTTAATAATAATAATATTTAATAATAATAATATTAATAATACATGTCTTTAGATCATCATATTAAACCGATTTCTATGGAGCCAGATCAGTCTCAACAATAATGCATTCACTAAATAAAAGCACATTCAGCACATTTTACATTTACAAAACTCTATTTGTAAATACAGAACACAATTCATAAATGCACAAATCCAATTCGTGATCTTAAAATTGCATAAATTCATAAATGTATGACGGAAAGTCAACCCAAGAACTTGATATAAATATGTGTGTAAAGATTTTAAATGTATTTAGGTAAGATGCATTTGTGCGAGCCATTGGGGAAATATTTTTGCTTTTTACTTTTGTATTCATTAAATGCGTTTTAAATTGATAAAGTTTGCACATTTACAAATTGCATTTTAAACTTAAGAACTGAATTTGTACACTTACGAAATGTGTTTTAAATTCACAAATTGGATTTGCGCATTAATGAATTTCATTTTAAATTTATGAACTGAATTTGTACATTTACGAATTGCAATTTAAATTTACGAACTGAATTTGTACATTTATGAATTGCGTTTTAAATTCACGAATTGGATTTGCGCATTAATGAATTGCATTTTAAATTTACAAACTGAATTTGCACATTTACGAATTGCAATATAAATTTACGAACTGAATTTGTATATTTACAAATTGCAATTTAAACTTACGAACTGAATTTGTACACTTACAAATTTAAATTTAAATTTACGAGCTGAATTTGCACATTTACGAATTGCATTTTAAACTTACGAACTGAATTTGTACACTTACAAATTGAAATTTAAATTTACGAGCTGAATTTGTACATTTACAAATTGCATTTTAAATTTACGAGCTGAATTTGTACATTTACGAATTGCGTTTTAAATTCACGAATTGGATTTGCGCATTAATGAATTGCATTTTAAATTTACAAACTGAATTTGCACATTTACGTATTGCAATATAAATTTACGAACTGAATTTGTACATTTACAAATTGCAATTTAAACTTACGAACTGAATTTGTACACTTACAAATTGCAATTTAAATTTACGAGCTGAATTTGCACATTTACGAATTGCAATTTAAATTTACGAGCTGAATTTGTACATTTACCAATTGCAATTTAAATTTACGAGCTGAATTTGCACATTTACGAATTGCAATTTAAATTTCTAACTGA